ATAGTATCACTATTCAAGTACCGAACGATTCTGTTGGATTAATTATAGGAAAAGGTATGTATCAATATTATATTATTTATTTGAATATTATATGATGATTTTATTATTATTATTTATTTATTTAATATATTTAATAGGTGGAGAAACAGTAAGAGCACTTCAACAGCAATCAGGTGCTAAAATACAGATTGAACCTGTACACGGTGCACCACCAGTTGAAAGAAATGTACAGATTATCGGTAAGGATATGAATAAATCATTGCCTACATGCATATGATGACTTTATTGCTTCCAAACGTGAAATTCAATGTTAGTTGTTCGATGCGCTCTACGTTCATGATAATGTCGCTTGTTGTAGGTTCTTCTGAAAATATTGCTATCGCGAAACAATTGATTCTTGAAAAAGCTGCATCTGGAAATGTACTGTCGTTTGTCATTCGCTTGTTGAGTGTGATTGCTATAATTTTTTTTGGATATTTTTGCTATTTAAAGACCTAGGGTCGTTATAATGCAAAATTTGTTGATGATAATGCATGTATTTTTTTCTTTTTGTTTTTCTTTTTGTTTTTTTTCTATTCAAATATTATTTATACAGCGCGAAAGATCATCACGTCACGGTGATCAAGGAAGAGGGTATGTATTTTTTGAATAATTTAAAATGTCATTTTTTATGGAATCATTTTATAGAATCATTTTATTTTATATGGAAACTTTTAAGTAATCTTTATAAAAATAGGGATTACACTTCAGGCGGATATCAACAAAGTTCCTATCAACATGGTGGAAATTATCAACAAGGAAGTTATCAACAAGGGAATTATCAACAAGGGAATTATCAACAAGGTGGATATCAACAAGGTAGTTATCAACAGATTAGTGGATATCAACAAAGTAGTTCAATTCCTGCTAATAATACTGGAAATCAAGGATATCAACAAAATAATGGATATTCCACGAATGCTTATCCCCAATCTCAACAACTTACATATGGTCAAAGTACTAATAACGATTACGCACAAACTACTGCCGTCAGTGGATATCCATCATCTGGATCATATGGAGTCACTAATCAACAACAACAACAACAACAACAACAACAACAACAAAAACAACAGCAACATCAACAACCACAACCTACTAGTTATGGTCAATATAGTCAATATTCTAATCAAACGTCGACCACAGCATATAGTCAATATCCAGCACAAGCGCAGTACAATACTTATGG